CTTCATCTCTACGCATCCGAACTTTGTATTTTCGGACTCCATACCAGAATCCGAATTTATCTACTGGCTTGACTGGGGGTTGAAGAATCTCGCAGTACCTTTTAAGATACAGCTCGATATCTTGGTCTGGAATCCTTCCAGTCCAGAATTTAACAACAAGAGTCACTACCTCTACCTGGACAGAAGACTCCACTTGCCAGTCTTTCCATTTCGGATGTGAAGCGTTGGAAAAAGAAATCTCCAAGAAGCGACGTAAGGGCGCCTCTTGGGTGAAACACAGCTCAAAATCCCGTTTATTGGGCAGAGCAATGAAAGAGTATATGTCCTGCACATTCAGCCAAGATGTTTGCAATAACAGCTCTTCAGCAACATAATCACGGGTCGGGGGATCCCCGTCTCCGATGTACTTAAGTCTCACCCATAAATTGCTGAAGTTTGAAGCAAACGATACTGGGGCATACGGGGGCATGATTACATAACTAATAACCAACTACACCGCGGCCACTCATTTTGACAGGTTCTTTTCTTCGTAGTATCGAGACTAAGAGACTAAGAGACACTACATTTACTGCTCATCTAATACAAATGACCGTTCCAACAAATGAGGAAACGATCACACAGACCACTTCTTTGTTAGACGCGCGCCTGTTGTAGCACAATTCATAGATTTCCTCCAACGCAATGTCCGGCCCACTGTGCAGCTCAGCCAATGAGAGTCGAGGGCCTGCGCAGTGATATCAGAATCAGAATCAGAATCAGAATCAGAATGGGGTTTATTGCCAGATGTTGAGGTTTACAACATTAGGAAATTGCTGCGGTGCTTCAGTGCAAACAATAAGAATTAAAGTGCTATGTAGAAAGAAAGATATGTGCATGAGATATACATGAGATATATACATGAGAATAAGAATTATGAGTGCTACGTAGAAAGATATACGCGACACCGGCATCTCCTCCAAGGCCATGAGCATCATGAACTCGTTTGTCAACGACATCTTCGAGCGCATCGCTGCCGAGGCCTCTCGCCTGGCCCACTACAACAAACGCTCCACCATCACGTCCAGGGAGATCCAGACCGCAGTGCGCCTGCTGCTCCCCGGTGAGCTGGCCAAGCACGCCGTGTCTGAGGGCACCAAGGCCGTCACCAAGTACACCAGCTCCAAGTAAACTGATCCTGCTGTCAGTCA